AGTCAGGAAGGATTTGTAAACATCCAGAATGTACCTCAGCCTTCACTGTTTAAAGCTGTCCAGGCTCTCAAAGGAAAGAAGACATACAGGGCATAGAGCAGAACATCTATTTCACAGGCCGGATTCATTTGGTGGAACATAAACATGTCTGCGTGGTTTTCTTGTAATTTTATACAAGAGTCCAGTGACCCAGTAAACATCTGTGGCTACATGCAGAAATCTCAGATCTCTCAAGAGCACATCAGGCCAATAAAAATCAGTCTAGTCAGAAAACGTTGTATCCGTTCCCATAAGGTGCAGAACATCAGACTTACTCCAACTGCCCTTGCTGGCCTCGATGGAAATGACCTGCTCTCCGTTCTGTTTCTATATTTTTTATGCTTAGAAAGGTCCGTCTGTTTAAGTCTAGTCACAACCACAAGCAGGCACATTGGATGACATGGTCCAAATGGACAAGGAAATACCTCACCGGGATCTTCTTGGCCAATTCACCTCTGTTGGCAGTTGTGTTCCAACTCATCATGACCCTGTAAAATGTAGCACAACTGCCCCCTAGAGCTTCCTAGGGTGTAATCCTTACAGGGAGTGGATCACCAGGTCTTTCTTCCCCATGGATTTGCTGATGGTTTCTAACCACTGACCCTCATCATAATGCAATACTGTACTCTTAAAAATAAGGGCTCTTGGAGATAAGTTGCCTAAGTTTGAATCTCAGGTCCCCTTCTTAAGAATTGCTTTTGGTCAAGTTGCTTTACTTCCTTGAGTCTCAGTAGCCCAATTTATAAAATGGGGGACAATAACAGCCCCTACCTCATAAAGCAGCTATGAGAACGAAAGGCGTTCATTACTGTACATTGCATTATCCATGCTTGGTAAATCAAAAGCACTATTGAAGTGGTTAAGTAAAATACAGCTTCTTACGAGTTCTAATACATAAACAAGAATCCCCCTAGTGGGAAACTCAGAAATCTGTATAGGTAGAACACTCTACTTTTGTGAACGATTACTTTGGTTTTTAATATTATTATTATATCACTTAGCTTTATTATTGTTGCTGCTGTAATAAAAGACTGCAGGTCCCTTGAGTGAATTTAGTTGAAAAAATAAAATCTTCAAGTAGGGTGTCTGCATTTTCTTATTCCATTACATCCTAATTATTATTATTAATGCAATTTGTCATGACGATGAAACATGTCTCAGCTAGTTATAAATAAAGCGCTAGAGCTGTGTTTGGAAACATCATGGGAAAGTCAAAAGTTATAAACATATTGCAGCTGTGCATATGTGTGTGTTATGTCAATGAATAGAAAAAATCTATAGATTAAGGACGTAATAGAAGTTTTCCATTGGAACACGTAGAGTGCTCTGTGCAGGTGAGAAGCAACGCCATTGTATGAAGT